TCAATTGTTATTGATTTAGTATTCTATAAAATAAACAATAAATTAAATAGATTGATATATTTAATTAATTAATTGATTATTTATTAGTAGGTAGGCCATACATTCAATCTAATGCATAATTATATGAAAAGAAACTCAATTAAACCTGAGATTTCCCACATGCCTCTGTCTTAATCTGATATAGATGCTTGAAATAGATTTAACATCCACACACATCAAAAACTAAAAAGTAGAAAATAATTTATAAATATGTGGAGAGTTTAAATACTAGTAAGATTTAAAACGAAAAACGTGGGGTAGCTGCAATTGATAATAATATATTAGGTGAAGGTAATTGTAAATTATCTATTGCATGCACCCCACGTTTTTCGTTTTAAATCTTACAAGTATTTATACTCTCCAAATATTTATATATTATTTTCTACTTTTTAGTACGTTTAAAAACGTTTTGTTTTAACAAAGATTTTTATCTATAAATTATTTACTTCAGCTGGCCCCAATCATGATCCAATATAAATAATATATTTCCTCATAATATTTCCTGGCATCATAAAAACCCTATTTTATTAATTTTTTACCTGTGGAGAAAACAGCGAACGATTCTCACTATCGTATCTTACACATTTAGGTTATGTAGAGCAATCTAGAATTTCAAATTTTCATCTCCTAATTGAATACAAACAGCACAGTAAACATATCACAAATGCAACCTTCAACAAACGTGCGTTGAATGCAAATGTGTCTCAAATCAGTGACTTGTATGATACTTATCAGACTTTAACATGAAGCCCGACATTGCTGACCCATGTTGGGATTTTTACTATGAAGTACAGCGTTTTGCTTTTTTTTAATCGCAAAAATGAAATAAAAATTTAGTGTAACTAGGTGTTACCCACGGTCTTTACCCCGTTTGACTTCATAAGTATTAATAAAACTATTGATTTGTTAAGTTAAGCTGAAATAAACAAAACAGAATACAGTAATACAAATAATCCCACCTTATTTTAACAAGGTAGTCAATTGAAAAACATACAAATAAGTACAGCTGAGGCTTAACTTAAGGTATATGTAAAGTTCCCTGTAGAAATGAATTACGACCTTAAATGGCAATTTACGATAGTGGATTAATAATTAATAATGGATTGTTTTGCGCAAGGTTTCTCGTCATGACGAACATTTTAAGTATATGGTTTATGGGCGTTTGACTTGTAGTTTTCTCAAAAGTTCATGGGTACTTTGGAATTTATATATGGATTTTTAAAACAAAAACATGTGATGTCGTGAACATTGGACGACACACCTCTTCAGGCAAGATTACTCTTATGATCTGACGTTGGCGTTCGCCCTGAAATGCGCGCAATCCAGTAGGGGTAACTTGGACCACAAGTCGAAATCCTGGTATTTCAACCTTTTATTGTTTTGTCAAAAGTATGTACTATTACATGAAGCTGAATCAAAGGTTCTAAGTCATTAAAGCAATCCTGATGTTCACTTATACTTTTAAATCTAGATGTTACTAGTAATGAATGTTTTTTTGTAAGATACATAAAAAAAGTTCAAAGTGGTTTTACATCGAATCAGTATGGTGCTAGTGTAATTAGATGCAATTATTGGTAACTGTAATTTTGGTCTTTGAGCAAGGTTCTTCGACTATTGTTATTCTCTTTGATTTAATAAAAACCATTAGTTAGGCATTAGTTACATTTTGTTGTAAGTCAAATTTCCTAATTTTTTCTAAAAAGCTGCCATAGTAAATTTAAAAGTACGGTAAGTATAATAATTGGTTAGGAAACTGATTTTTTAAAGATTAAAATTAAATACTAGGTTAGAGTATTATAAGTATTTAATACGTGGAATTTATGAAAATAAGTTTCAAAACCAAAATCCATCATACAAAACAAATATTTTACAATAGAAAGCAAAAAATACCGGGAACGGTTGGTAATAATTAACGAAAAAGATAGTCAAGGCGATCAAGGCGATACATTGGTTTACAACAGCTTTGGTTGAATTAACTTTATAGATTGGCCCAACAACGTAAACATCAAATGTTGGTCAAGGTGTCAGTCAGCAAAGTCTGTAGTAGTCTCTGAACTGTCAAACACTTTGCTTTGTATGTCATAAGAGATCCTTGGAGACTATATAAAACTTGGCCAATAGGTATTGCTGTAAGCCAAAGATTATATTTGTTGAAAATGTTGTCAATGTATAATAAACTATGTAATTTTGATGTGTTCAGTGAATCACGGGCCTGAACACACATTCGTATACAAATTAACATTTTTGCAGTTTCAAATTCAACAAGTAAATTTTAACATATAATTTAAGTATGGATTTAATATGGACAGATATGCTGTGCGGATAAAACTCAGTCTACTTTATTTCGATGAAAACGTGTAAAAAGTCTGATTTGGGTACTGAACCACCAGATGGTTTTCAAGTATTAAGTGATTTTTGGCCAACGCACATCAATAAGACTTCTTACAAAGTTGCTTTGGGATGGTTATAATTTTAAGTTTGCGTACATTAAGTCATATATACACTATGATATGGATAATAAGTGAAATTGTGTTAGTAAAACATAACCTTTGGAAGAGTTATCATGACTTCTACAAGACCATGTTCTAGTATTTCATGCAGTTTGTTTTAATTGTTTAAAACATCAAATAAGGTAATTAATCAATGAAATGAATGCATATCCCTTGACAGTAATTGACCTACTATGTATATTTTAAACTTTGAAAGGCGCTAGGCCTACATATTGAAAAGGTAGAATTGAATGGTTATTGGACGGTTCTATACATCGAGAGTTCCAATATTCTAGATTAAATTTTTTTGACAAGAGTGTATTAAATGTGTGAATCACGACTGAATATTACTAGGCACTTATAATATATCTGTTTCATGTGAGAGTAAGACTGTTTAGACGTTTCACAAAATATTAAGCGGAAGAAATTGAGGAGAGAGAAATGAATGATGTTACACAAAGAAACGATATTACGAGAGAGAAAAATTGCACTTTTTGAACCAGAATGTTTACATTTTCAAAATTTTATCATTGTATTGTCGTTGACATGTGGGGATTATTTTTAATATGCTCATATGGTCAGCTGGCCTTTAGTTTCTTTGTTGTTAATGTAATTTATAGGTTCTACAAAAAACTTTAGGTGCTTTTTAACACTTTAAAGCTTGGATTTATATGAACAAAACACTGTCCCTTATTTACTAAATCCTATACTTATTTTACATATCAAATTATTAAATAATCTTGACAAGCGTATTTTTGAGGTAATTTATGAGATACGATTATGGAGTATTATCGCATATAAAATATATGTTTATTCTGGGCAATGAAATAGAACAATGAGGCCAAAAATGTCCAAAATGATTAGTAAACATATTTGATCACAGTTAATTAAGTGCAGCTTGAATGCAAGTGACACTGGTACCAGTTGCTTCGGATCTGACAGATTACAATCATTAACTTATAGCCCAGGAATTTTAGAAAAAATAATGCCCTAAAATAGAACAAATTAATAATTAGCTGATTTTTGGTGTGGGGTTAGTATGTCATTAGGTAAGTATTTTCTGAAAGTTCCCCTCACTTCCTCCGCTTGCTTCACCCAGTAAAGGGCTAGAAAGGGTCTAAGTGACGTAAAAATACAAAAATCTTTATTGAGTGACACCAATGTCACCAATTTTAGTGGTTTTAGTCTTAAATCATTCATAATGAAAGTAGTCATGCTAAATAATCACCGCAACAATAATTCATAGCACTTTAGAGCGTTTTATTTTATATATTTTAATTTTTATAGTAAACTTTAGGTTATTTAAAGCGTTTTTGCTGAGAATTTCAGTTTTTGACAGCTACTACCCCAACTTATTATTTGTTATTTGTCCTGAAATATATTCAAGAAAATTTTAAAATCTGGGAAACAATTATATAAATCATTAGTGTGATTTTGGATGGGCATAGTAAGACCAAAATATAGATGTAAAGGCGTATGAATCCTTCGCGCGCGCATTTTTGACTATTTAATTTCTCATTTATAACTTAAAATGGTCTAATTAATAAATAAACTCACATAAAGAATGCTAATAAATAATAATATTAAAAACCCTCATATCCATGGATACGAAAAAATAAATCATAAAACCTATAGGATGTTGAGTAATTTAAGTTTGGATATTTTGGGTTGGTAGCTCTGAAAAAAAAAAATGTTTGCCCAACAATGCTTTCTCACCTGTTATTATGTACGTACACAGCTTTATACGTAAAATACCCCCGCCGCAGCAAACCTGCAGACTAAGCAAATTTCCATTTGCCTGATTTGAATTTACACTAAAATGTGTCCTTAAAAATATCACAATTATTCCCTATTTAAATAACATGTACTTAGGTTTGCTGTATCAGGAAGGGTAAAAAGTTTTTTTTGTAAAATGTTAATATTTTAGTATGAAATGAATCCATTTTCAAAATATGATAATATATTACATAAATTTACAGTTTTTTGGAATTTTCTCCGTAAAGGCGCATAATAACGCTTCAATATACAAAATTATTTTTTTTAAGCTCTACAATATGTTTTGGAAAGAAAATGCTAAATTTTAAGTTTTTAGGGTCAAAAATGGGAAAACCCAATTTTTGCCCACTTTTTTTGCTTACCATGAGTACTATGGTAATAGCTTATTCCCTATAGGGAAAATTCGCTAAAAACATAATTATGTTTGAAATTGTTTTAGAAGACTCGTGGTACAATTGTTCATTTACAATATGTGATGTGAATAAGTAATAGAACAATTTTGCTTTATATAGGTGTTGTGATTGTTGACAAGTGGAAAATGGTATGGATCATCACTTAAGTCTATTTTCACACAAACTTCATAATAAATGGACTTGAATTAAAATACAGTTTCGAAGCTACGCATATTTCGCTTGGTGTCATGGGAAGCTGCATCTTGTGTGGAGAGAGCCTTCTCGAAGCAGGGAACCTGAAAAAATGTCCTCACCCGAGGTATTGCTGCTCTTTTACATGCCAGTGAAGAGCGTGGGGACAACGTTCGACTTATTTAGGAAGGTAAAACATCCTTAAAGGTCCATGAAAAGTGTCAAACATTGTATACACAACCATCGTCCATTGCTGCAGCTAATTGTGTCGCAGCATCAGTCATCTGATTTGTCCTTTTCGGACCCAGAGGAAGGCCCTAGTCGCCTCTCTCTTTCTCGTTGAAGCATCGATTTGGTGTTTGACATTAAAGTTCACTGTTTTTTTTGTGGCAAAGATGCCTTGAACTGAGCCAGTACAAAACTCCCACAAAAATATAGAAAGGTTGTACATAAAGTGCTTACCCTACCAATATTTAACTCCGTCAAGAAACCTGCTATAGAACGTAAAGATGAATGGGGTCAGTTGATTTTATCCCGAATAGCCGGTGTTGGAGATTTAGTAGCCACCCAAGCAAAGTATTGCCGTGACTGTTATTCTACATTTTTTAGAAACCCATCAGAAAAAGGTGTAGGTAGACCGGAAGACGTCACTAAAAGGGATGCAGTTTTAAAATTATGTTGTTGCATTGAAAATAACGACGAATCCTAGTTTAGCATCACTGAGCTATTAGAAAAAATGGAAGAATTTTTACCAGGAAAGGAAATTTACAGTTAATAATACTTAGTTAGGAAGCTGTCTGAGCATTTAAGGGAGAAAATTACATTTTCGACTTAGGTGGGAAGGGGAAATGTAACAGTTGTAACGTTGAGTGATACTTCTCACAAACTATTGCGGGGGTCATGGAACGCTGATAGAATGACGGATTTGGAGACCAGCGCAAGAAAATAGTTGAAGAGGCTGCCCAGATTATTAGGGAAGACATTATAAAATTAGTATATGACTCAAATCTGTTTATCCATCGACAGATTGTTTATCAAGGGAAGAGGCATCTAAACTCAACTTGTTCTGCCATGTGTAGCCGCTGTTTTGGAGGCTGCGCCAATGGACCTCTCACATCTCTGTTGGATGATGAAGATGTTGATGCGGGATTGTAGTTACAAGAAAGGTTGTATGTAGGTTAAGAATATGCTTTATTTTGGACGGGTTGAAATTCGCCCCCAGAAACCGATCCGTACTATTCTAAAATGTGCAGGAAAAATTATTAACTTATCTTAGCTATTTTTTATTTGTTGATATGTGAGTATTAGTTGTAAATAAGATTTAAAAAAACTAAGGTAAAGAAAGTCCAATAATACATATCTTACAAATGATGCAAGAGTTTTATTTATTTTTTTATATATATTTTTTTAAAACAAAAATTAAAATATATCAAATAAAACGCCTTAAAGTGCTATGAATTATTGTTGCGGCAATTGTTTAGCATGACCACTTTCATTCTGAATGATTTAAGACTAAAACCATTAAAATCGGTGACACTGGTGTCACTCAATAAAGATTTTTGTATTTTTACGTCACTTAGACCCTTTCTAGCCCTTTACTGGGGAAGCAAGCGGAGGAAGTGAGGGGAACTTTCAGGAAATACTTACCTAATGACATACTAACACCATACCAAAAATCAGCTAGTTATTAATTTGTTCTATTTTTTTACCTAAAGTGCCTGGGCTATTATTGCAACATATTGTAAGAGAACAACCAAACCCTACAGTACACAAACTGTAGCGTCAGCTGTTGATATTCCTAGTTTTCCCACCAATGTCCGCACAGTTGCTATATGTTTGAAACTACATTTGAGCAACTTTAAACTCGAAAGTTGTGTGAGTTGGATCGAAATAGATGCAAACCTAATGGTATATCCTCATTTTCTGTACAACATCTGATTTGACTGTAAACAAATTATTTTTCAGAGAGCCCAAGATGGCGGAAGATGAAAGAACGGAGATTGTGAACACCACGATTGACCCGAATGTGAAGTTCCTGTTGAGACTAAAGCAAGACTGTGATGACAGACGAAGACAACAACGACAAGAGCTTGTGTTTTATACTGTTGATGGTGAGTAATAGCTATTTGTGTTTAAAAGCGCAAAGTAGGTCATTGCCACTCGAGAACTGTATACATAAATTTCGTTAAGCTGGGGTTTCCTAGACGCGGAAGAGAAGCGCGGAGGGTGGAGAGCGGAGAGCGGAAAAGTGATTAACAATGGCGTTCTGCTCCACTTCTAGGAAAACGGTAACGTTAAAATTACCTAAGCCGAGAGGAGTCCGCTCTCCGCGTTCCTCTCTCCGCGCTCCGCTTCCAAGGCTAGGAAGATTAACTTAATTAACCAGATTAACACCATAATGAACTTATCATAACACACGCATTAACTTTTCTGTTGTGTATAAAATGTTATTTAGGTTATGCTATTAGTTTACCGGTTGTTGACGTACCCGATCCGCGGCTGTGGTTGGGGTAGAAACACCAACAGTGAAATTAGCTGATTAGCGAGTGGGATTGATCCACTCTCACTCTGGAGCGTAAATGATTTATTTTGCGTACTGTTTCCAGGTGTAGCCTTGTGATCATTACCATGCAGTGGTAAGAAAAAGTAAGATTTAGTACGGTTATTATGAGCTTGTATGTGTGTGTTCCCTCTTCTAGTATACATCGGTTTCTATATTATGTGTCTATAGGAAAGTAGCATTTAATAGACTAACACATTACGAGGTTTCCATGAATAAATGTTTCACTGGACTGTCTTTAGAACGAAGATTCCAATGGTAAACAATCATAGTGTCGAGTTTCTCTTCCCAACATACCCACAAATATTAGAGTACCTAGTTTGGTCTGCTTTCGTTTTAACGAACAGAAATTCTTTAGAAAAATTGCATGAAAATTCTTTAGAATTTTCAAATCTAAATCTGCATGATATTTCATGCAACAATAACACTTCAAGTGCTTCCTATGGAATTATGTTTTTCATCATGTATTTATATCAACATGTGTGGGATAACTCAAAATATATTATTTTAGAAATAGTTTTAAAATAATATAAAAGAAAATGTAAGAATAATTCCAATCATGTATGCCATTGTAACATAGTTACAAAGAGTAGTTGTTACATAACATTTTGGAAATACTTGCCTTTTAATATTAATACAAGGTTAGATTCCATTACATAGCCTACAACTATCGACCAGTTATTTAGATCTCTTGACCTACTGAACCTTTTAGTATTAGTCGTCAACTTAGAAAATGTGTACTATTAAAAACCCTCATTAAAAAAACAATCTTTTTCAATAGGGTGTTTTCTTATTGTATTTTTATCACTACTCTAAAACGCTCGTTTCAGAAACCAATGTGGGAAACCGATAAGAGTTTATCGATGAACGCAAGCACAGTACTCGGTACAAATTATGCTGCAGTAATATTTACTCACATGTAGCATAAAATATATATAAACCCACATATTAGATAAGATGTGATAATATAAAAACTCTATAATACTAGAAATTTATGAATATGTTTGAAATACCCGCTTTACGCTTTATACGCCAATAAAGTTGGACAATTAAGTAACCAAAACGTCATACCGTATAGGCAAATCAAATTCAATGGTTTCTTGGAATTTGAGCCACCCAATATTATTGGTATCAATATTATTGATACCTCAATAGTGCAATTAATAATATTGCCAATAATATCTGCCATACATTGTCGTACGGTTGTATTAGTCACACGATTATTAAACTGCGGGGGATATCCGAGTTAATCGTATCATTATCTGAATATCTCAACCATTTGAATATCAAACTAATAGCGATTTTCATTGACTCTCTCCACGTTTTAATCACAGTCATCGCTTCTTTTGATACTATCATCTGAATTCCAATGGAGTACTTCGTCCCATTAATAAATTTAGAAATGCACTTCATGAGAAAGGGAAACAATGATTGCAAAATTTGGTTTAAAATTTGTGTAGTATCTGTTGGAAAAACTTATTATTAATCTTGTTTTCAGTTAACAACGCACAATATTATTATAGTAAGACAATTTACAGGTTTGTGTAGGAATTAACACTTAAAGTAATATATCACTCAGTAAACTATTATTAACATAATTTCTTCATCCATTTTATGTTGTTAAATGTTAAATTTTAAATGTTTAATCATTCTCTCATAAAAGGTCTGCAAATGAATCTTCCTTCATGGTAAAATAATTCCACAAATTTTCCCGTAAATAAGTCACAGCATAGAATGGGTGGGGTGGAAATGTAATTAATCCTTGAAGAAATGTTCGTTAAAACACTTTGTTAGGCTGCGTTCCCTGTTATCATGAGTAACTAAACCATACAAACTGCGTTCTTTTCATGAAATAACCTTTTAGAAAAGAGTGTTTAGTATATTTATTTTTGATACGATTGCAAGTCTATTTAAAATGTAAGAAATCAGCAGGAAGTAATTACTATTTACATTTTGTAACTTTTTTGTAACTATCCAAATTTGTTAGGTCAATAAAAATTTCGACTTACAGATTGGATTTGAAGTTGTTAGAACATATTTCAGGTCAAACCAGGAATGAACATTTATCGTTCATACTATTTAAAGTATAATTCATCATTTGCTAATTTGATGTGATGATGGATAGCAACAGTCAAGTTAAATTCATAAAATCCTTTCTAACTACATATTGACTTTTTTGTCTGAATTAAAAAGTCTTGGCGCGCAACAGTATAAGACTTAGAATGTTGCGTTCCGAACTCAGGTGGCAATGTTTGAAGTATATTTTGTTTCAGAACCATTGTGACCGACATTGTTTGACGTATGTTTTGTCGCAGAACCATGGTACCCCATGTTGTTTAATGTATTTTTTTTGTTGCAGAACCATGATTCCCCATAGTGTTTGACGTATATTTTGTCGCAGAACCATGATTCCCTATAGTGTTTGAGGTATACTGTTATCTTCTTGCAGAACCATAATATCCCATAGTGTTTGACGCATATTTTGTTGCAGAGTCATAGTGCCCCATAGTGTTTGACGTATATTTTGTTGCAGAGCCATAGTGCCCCATAGTGTTCGACGTATATTTTGTTGCAGAACCATTGTACCACATAGTGTTTGACGTATATTTTGTTGCAGAGTCATAGTGCCCAATAGTGTTTGACGTATATTTTGTTGCAGAGTCATAGTGCCCCATAGTGTTTGACATATATTTTGTTGCAGAGTCATAGTGCCCCATAGTGTTTGACGTATATTTTGTTGCAGAACCATAGTGCCCCATAGTGTTTGACATATATTTTGTTGCAGAACCATGATGCCCAATAGCGTTTGACGTATATTCTGTTGCAGAAACATGGTGCCCCACAGTGTTTGACGGTTGGGCCTGTTGGGATGCGACGCCCCCTGGTACTCGTGCCACGGTACCTTGTCCTAAATTCGTCACAGGATTTGATCCATCACGTAAGTTTACCTGTATATCATTACTTTTTATGACCTTAAGCTTTAATTTTTACAGCGAAACAAGGATCAGTCTTAGATATGACGCTTAGTTTATTTTTGCAACTGTTGTAAGTTTATATTTGGGGGTTTTCGTGATCTAGTAATTTTAAATGTGTAGGCTAATACATAAACACATGTTAAAAGAGCAGATGGTTTGTAATATATTTTTAAATATTGGATATCTACGAAATAAAATGGACCATTAGTACACGTTTTACGTTTTTAATTAAAATTCACGTTTGCTCCAGACAGAAACTGACGATAGACTTTACAACACTGGACAACATTTATAATTAGGACAAAATACAAAAAAAACTCAATTACCTTTGTGCAGAAGTTTTAATAACCATTCGTCTGGAAATGGCCTTATATTGATAAATGTTTATTACATGGCTCTGGGACTCAATACTTTTTTGACGGATTGAATATGGTTAAAATGTGAAGAATATAAAGAGACTTGTCCAAAGAGGGTTATAATATACTCATTAGGTTTTAATTTAATGTATATTTAATTATTTACTGCTCGTAGTTAATATATTTCAAAAACTTGATTTCTCCTGGATTGGTCTGTTAGTTTGGTTTCTAAAACGGTCATAATAAATGGCCGTAAAATACCATAAAAACCTTTTTTGGGCTGAAATATTTAATAGTTTTATCTCCCTAAATAACAATAAATTCCATTTTTAAGTGACTCAACTATCTGATATACGCATAAATAAACTGGATTTAATAATTCATTAATTTATTTATTTAATAAGCAATTCATTATCCTAGGAACACAAACAAATACCTGAAAATGGGAGTGAGGTAAATTTAACTAATTGACTAGAATCATTACATAACAATGATTAATTATACAGTAAACACTTAAGCATTATGCATAACATGTCATTGTTTCATAGTTAACATATGTTACATCTTTGCATTGTGCAACTAGTTTTTTTATCAACTATCGAATAAAAATAATTTTTATATTTTTATCGAATTTAATGTTGTAAATTTGAGCAAATTTTGAAAACTAGCGATTACGTGTAAAATTAGGCCATGCTTACTTAGCAATAAACTTAGCATGAATAATTTAGGGTTCTGCTATTGGACTGGATACTGATACAGTTCAAGGTATATCGTATAATAGTATATTACGTTACTAGTCCTGAAAATAAGTGTTTACCGGACGATTGTGGTCGTTCCCGTGCGTGACGAAGTCGAGTACGGGATTACCATACGAGTCCGGTAAACACATTTTGGACGAGTGACGTACGATATTTTATGCCATACTACTAAATCTGTTCAAATCCTTATATATTACTACCAACACTTGCTGGTGTTCCCTGTGTGTGATTGGATTAACAATCACTAGTCATAACCTTTAAGGGAGGTTATTTAGTACGTAATGATACCCAATTTAATTAAGCTTGCGGCAAACAGCTGTTTTCTGGACTAAATCCTTCCGTGGGAAGTTCGTCAAAATAATGTAGTGTGGCGTAAAAGGATGTACTATTAGTAATAATTTAAACGCTTTACTAAGACATCAACGTAATGTTTACGTGCGTATTTTGACCTAAATATAGAGGGTAACTGTAGAATGGAGTGGATGATCAGCGTTACTTTCAACATAGCCTCCTCTGTTGACAAGACGAAGACTGAGACGAGACAAAAGTCGGTCACGCCGCAGCCCCTGGCCTACCGAAACATCTGTTGCGCCAATTAACAATTAAGCTTCTCCGCAATGTTTAAATGATTTTTTATAAATTTTACAACCTTGCTAATCAGCCGGCCGACGTGACGTTCTCAAAACTGTGGCATTAAACCCGTAAAAACAGGAGGAAGCAGTTTTGAACCATATAAAAGTTTGTCCTGCTTAGTTTTCTCAAGAATAAAACTAAAGTTCGGCCACTTAGAAAGCGACCTCCTCCAACATTGGTTTAGCATTAGCGCGCAGGTCGTTTTCTAAGCGGCCGAACTATAGTGAACATCTGATTGCCAGGCTACATAAAAACTTAAATAACTAAAGCAACACATAGAGTGCTTCGAGGTTGAATTTTGCACTGTTCAAAATAAAATGTGTTTAATAACACCTAGCGTATATTGTATGGCCTGTATTGTTAGGGACGGCGTATCGCAGCTGTCTACAGAACGGAACCTGGTTCAGACATCCTTCTACAGGACGTCCTTGGTCTAACTACACTACCTGTGTGGACCTACATGATCTGGCGGTAAATACTACAACACATACTACTATGACATATATGCTATTGAGGGCTCTTCTGTACACACGTCTAATGATACTAAAAACATATGTGTATACTTTTACTGAATCACATTTAATATGGTTAATACACATACAAATATTGATTGTTGATCGATTTTGAGTGACACTGTAATAATAACGATTTTGACCCAATTGGGTCTGAGAATGGTTGAATAAGTTCAGTTTAATTTCAAAAGAATATGTCGGTTGCATTAGACTTGCCAATGCAAATAACTATGATTATCGATGTTGAAATTTAGTTAATCTCTCGACAATGATTTTCGCCTATATTTTTAATGTGCTAATTAATTCTACATTTTCACTTTATCAATTTTCGTGACGAAATGGACGGGATACGATTTGCGGTTATTTTTTAACTAGGGCAAATACGAACAACTTTATCTGAACCTGGATATTTTATGCTGGTTAAGAGGTATTATGTTGTTGTACTTCTGTTATCTAGACAATTTTAAAAGCTATTTAATTAAGTTTTACTCATAAACACGAAATTTTTTAAAATGTATTGTTCATGGAGAATTTTTCACTTTCAGATCAGGTCCAACTATAGAGTTGAGTAGTATTTAAGTTATTTCTAAAACATGTATTGATTCCCCATTTTAAGCTGTGTAAAAAAACTATTTACATCAATAGGAAAATAACACCTTTTAGCACGTTAGACGGTTATTTGTTTTACTACAGCTCATTTAAATTTATTCTCAATGTTGGTGGGAGTGTTGATACTCTTGAATACAATTTCTATGTTTCTAGTTCAGGGAGATTGTCAATAATCTCTACATCACTGGATACTCAATCTCCTTTGCTGCTCTGATCATCTCTCTCATCATATTCTTTACATTCAGGTAAAGTAATTTTATTTACTAAATATTTTTATAGTTAGGCAGTATACAACAATTATAAATATTTAGCTAAATCAATAATGACAGGTATAAACAATTGTAAGACCCAATATCTTAGTTGTTACTGAGCTCTTATCTAAGCTAGCCTTTTATATAATGTACTGTCACAGCAAATTTAAGACACTATTGTTGTACCTACAGACCGATGTAGCAGCTCCTAATTGAATTATTATAACTTAGGTACATTTAATATTTAGACTCATTGAAACCCAAATTTAATTAAAATAACCTTGAGTCTTCAAACATGTAAACGGTCTTAAATATCAGTATGCAGAAAGATTGTATTTCTTTCTTTAATGATTCCGAATCAATCCAGATTTTATGTGATAAAACCATAAAACATGGTGGAAGTATAAAACCTTATCATTCCACCACAATGATAAAGTATATCCGAATTTCAATATCAAACATATGGAAACTAAACCTAATCATATACAGTGACGTGTAATCATACTCAATTGCATTACAACCGTTAATAGACCCTTTGGACGAAGTTATTACTGTGGTCGTTAACAGTGTGTGTTTAAAAGCAATGTGTCATTTCAGCGAATAAACAGCACAAAGGAATACATTGACAGTCCGCAACAGCAATTCCGAAATTCTTTGAATAATTTATATGTAGAAAAAGCATAAATTATGATATTACTAAAATATATTTTAGTATATTTGTCGCTCGCCTATAAAAGCATTTTGATATAAATCCAAAAGCGTCAAGGATTTTTGTAGTTTTAGCTGAATAAAAATATATGGTATGGTATTGTTGACCAAGATTATTTTTTTATTATTTTTTGGAAACTCAACACATTATCTAATTACTACGGTATCAAACATTTTTAATCCATGAGGATTATTTGTTTGAAAAAATAGTACTCATATATACCGGTGGATAAGTGAATTGCCTACAAGACCCAATAATTTTTTCCGGCCAGTGACGGTGTCAGATTTCATAATATTACCGGGAAAAAATAACCTAATCTATAAAACATTCGGTTTTTTTATCTTTGACCATACATTTTCGTTTTAATTTTTACAGTTTTATAACTGTTTATATCTCCCATTTATACAGTTAAATTTCCTGTGATGTTTTCCCAATCTTCATAGGTCTAATTAAGCATAACACATGAAAATAACAAAATACAATACAATTAGTTACATACAATGAAGATAGAATGCATACCAATGCAGTTTCTGATTGCCTTGCAAACTGCGAACTCGATACACTATTGTGTGGAACTGTTAGAACTCGCTTTAACATGCTAATGATGACACCTAGGTTACATAGGTCTTAGTTGTGACTGGTGGTAGGCCTACCTCCAAATTTTGTCACAAGGGTCTTATCTTCTGTATTTTCAAAGAACGCTAGAAAATATACGTTGAGGGTTTTTATCTTCAAACCAGGAATAGTTGATACAAAATATTGGATAAATAAAAATACTATAGTTGTAAGCAGACACAATCTGCTTCCTGCCATGTCCACGGCAGTGCGTGTAATTGATAGGCCTATCATGTTCGTTTTTATGTTTTGTAAAATTGTGTTTTATTTATTTATTCTGACGACACATCAAGTGGATCCTTTTGTTTGCCTGACAATGGCGGAGATCAGTAAATAACCGCCGAAACATATGTAGCAATTTCGACACTTCATGTTAAGGATTGTCTGACGAGGTATGTTTTAACCATTTGTCATATTACCCAATCCTGGGGCTACGAAAATGAATTTTAATTGTAATTTACGTTACAGAAGTCTACGTTGTACCAGGATCGCTATCCACGTCCATCTGTTCCTCAGTTTCGCTGGTAATGGCCTCGCGTGGTTGGTCTGTTACCACAAAGTGGTTGGAAACCCTCCAGTGATCAGTCATAACCTTGTACGTTACAGTTTACTCTCTGTTACAGAAGTCTTCGTTGTACTGTACCAGGATCGCTATCCACGTCCATCTGTTCCTCAGTTTCGCTGGTAATGACCTCACGTGGTTGGTCTGTTACCACAAAGTGGTTGGAAACCCTTCAGTGATCAGTCATAACCTTGTACGTTACAGTTTACTCTCTGTTCCAGAAGTCTACGATGTACCAGGATAGCTATCCACGTCCATCTGTTCCTCAGTTTCGCTGGTAATGACCTCGCGTGGTTGGTCTGGTACCACAAAGTGGTTGGAAACCCTTCAGTGATCAGTCAGAATCTAGTAAGTAAAAAAGTCTCATTTAACAAAGTGGAGTTAACAGCATATTCAACGTTTATTATTGCATCAGACCATGTTTGCGGATAAAATAATGTCATATTTTGACTTACAGATTCTTACCTACACCTAGGAAAACAAAACTGACACTATTTTCGATCACCCGTTCTCTTACAACAATACTAAAATACAGTTACTAAAATAAATCTTAATATTTATCATATTTAGAAAATAATTAGTAGAAAGCAAGCTTGAGACGAATACTGTACTTAAGGAAATACATGATTTTCTCAAGGGAGCAAATAAACAGTTTGACGTTAGCAAAACAAACTTGTCAGTTATTTTTTTTTCAATACACAAAGGACTCCACTACAAAACTTTCTGTTTTCAATGAGCTTACAAATGTTTAGATTGGTTCTCAACGTTTCAAAAGACACTGAGTATTTCTAGTTTCATAATCTCATTCAAACTTCGAAATTGCTTAATTACTGAACTCATACCATCCTACAAATAACGTTCACCCGGAAATATTACCACTGTGAAGATTATTCCAGTTTTATTCCACGTATTACTCTCCATTCGCAGAGCTTCTGTCAAGTGCTGCATGTCGTCATACAGTACCTGATGGTGGCCAACTACTTCTGGATGTTCTGCGAGGGTCTCCACCTTCACCTCGCCTTGGTCGTCGTCTTCGTCAAGGACAACTGGGCGATGAGGTGGTTCTACTTCCTGGGATGGGGCGTTCCCGTGCTCATCACTGCTCTATACGCCAGCGTCAGATATCAGACGCCCGAAGATACCAACCAGTAAGATATTGGATCAAGTATTTCTGGAAGTAAATTTAGTTAATATCGGTTATCCAGATTAAATTACTAGATCTCTACAAATATCACTTGCATAGGGTTTAAACGAGAAGTTACAAACCAACCAGCCAGACATGGTAATTTTGTAACTTATTTACTTGGGAAATCATCGTAGCCACTCAAAACACTGTATCCCTCTGAGATGTTGGATGAACGACAGCTACACTCAGTGGATTCTGACAGTTCCAGTGTGTCTGTTGATGCTCGCGAGTCTAGCGTTCCACATCAATGTAGTCAGAGTGTTGCTCACCATACTGTGTCTGTCTAGATGCTGGATGAACGACAGCTACACTCAGTGGATCCTGACAGTTTCTGTGTATCTGTCGATGCTCGCAAGTCTAGTGTTCCTCATCAATGTAGTCAGAGTGTTGCTCACCAAACTGTATCTGTCTAGATGCTGGATGAACCACAGCTACACTCAGGGGATCCTGACAGTTTCTGTGTATCTGTCGATGCTCGCGAGTCTAGTGTTCCTCATCAATATAGTCAGAGTGTTGCTCACCATACTGTGTCTGTCTAGATGCTGGATGAACGACAGCTACACTCAGTGGATCCTGACAGTTTCTGTGTATCTGTCGATGCTCGCAAGTCTAGTGTTCCTCATCAATGTAGTCAGAGTGTTGCTCACCAAACTGTATCTGTCTAGATGCTGGATGAACGACAGCTACACTCAGGGGATCCTGAAAGTTCCTGGGTGTCTGTCGATGCTCGCGAGTCTAGCGTTCCACATCAATGTAGTTAGAGTATTGTTCACCAAACTGTGTCTGTCTAGATGCTGGATGAACGACAGCTACACTCAGTGGATCCTGACAGTTCCTGTGTGTCTGTCGATGCTCGCGAGTCTAGCGTTTCTTATCAACGTTGTTAGAGTATTGCTCACCAAACTCCACATCAACTCTGCCAACCCCGCTCCTATTGGTCTACGCAAGGCGGTCCGGGCAGCGCTCATCCTTGTTCCACTCTTCGGCATCCACCACATCCTCATCCCCTTCCGTCCAGAGCCACACTCCTCGTGGGAGAAGGTGTACCAGATATTCTCCGCCGTCATGGTTTCATCACAGGTAATTATTAAAAAATATTTTGACAAAAGATTTTCATAATATGAGTTAAGTGAGGATGATTAAGCGATTTGGGGAGTTATAAATTTAACAGTATTCTATATATGAAATGATTGTAACCTAGATAAACCATATACCCTCATAAATATCACCAAGATTTAAACTATAATATTAAAATTAATTGGCACATTTGATCAAACAATGTATCCAAACACAATACTAAGCCGTTAAATTCGGTTAAATCCACAAAAATTTATGAAAGAGTGACTATGCTCGATAAACATTGATTAATGACCTAAGCAACATGATGATGAATAAATTTCCATGACGTATCGAGTTTGTTTGAAATATACGTTGCAAATCTGTTTTTACTTTTCGTTGATGATCGTCGTATTTGAATTATTTTAAAACTATCATTCAAATACCCCCGCCGCAGCAAACCTGCCGACTAAGCGAATTTCCATTTGCCTGAATTGATTTTTAATTGAATGTATTTAATTAACATTAGGTTTTATGAGTACCTAGGCTTGGTGCTACAGGGAGGGTAAAAAAGTGTACTTTTGGTAAAATATGAATAACTTTGTATAAAATAAATAAATTTACCAAGTTTGATTAAAATATATCCATAAACAAGCAAACTACAACATTTTACAATATTCTCCATAAGAATAACATGGGAATATTAAAATAACATTTTTTTGAATTTTCTCCGTAACCAATAATTGTACAAAAACACTTGGATATACTGAATTATTTCTTTTTTTAAGCTCTTTAAAAAGGTCCGGAGAGAAATTGGGAAATTTTGTGTTTAGAGGGTAAAAAATTAGAAAAACCAATTTTTACCCCATAAAACCCCCCATAAAACCCTGTTTCCATGGTCCGATCATGCTGGTTCGCGAACTCATTCAAGTTTATCCCGCCTTACACCTTCAAACCAAATTTCATCAAAATCGGACAAAAATTACTCAAGCTATCGTGTTCACGGACACATATATATATAAATCTATATATATATATATATATATATACATATATAAAAATTTGAACAAATGGTGTTTTTGGCCTCTGGGGACATCAAAATGAAAAAGTAAATCGGTCCCGGGCCTACGTCTTACCATGCCACCTACGGTAATAGCTACTTCCCTATAGGGAAATTCGCTAAAAGCAATTGTACATAAACTGAAGAATACCTTAAGTGGTACACCAGTGTAGTTATACTTAATACTTTACATTACTTCCAAACATATTAGTTATAAACATTTACAAGCTTTATATTAAACATGATTTTTTACACACTGTATATTTTTCTATTAAAAGCTTGAAATTATATCTCTTGTATATATAATTTGAAATACATAGTTTAACTTATATTGCAGGGGTTTTGCGTTTCTGTGCTGTTCTGCTTCGCCAACGTTGACGTCCACAGCGCCTTCAAGGCGGTTCTTCGAAGACTAAACCGGAGAAATGCGGCTCACGAAAACCTGACAATGGCCACGCAGACAAGAGAGGTTGTCTGAAAAATGGTTGTCCCCAGTCGTCTGATGGAGGCGTTTGTCTGACATCTACAGCGGCCTCTTGCTACACGCAGACAAGAGAGGTTGTCTGAAAAATGGTTGTCCCCAGTCGTCTGATGGAGGCGTTTGTCTGACATCTACAGCGGCCTCTTGCTACACGCAGACAAGAGAGGTTGTATGAAAAATGGTTGTCCCCAGTCGTCTGATGGAGGCGTTTGTCTGACATCTATAGTGGCCTCTTGCTACACGCAAACAAGAGAGGTTGTCTGAAGAATGGTTGTCCCCAGTCGTCTGATGGAGGCGTTTGTCTGACATCTACAGTGGCCTCTTGCTACATGCAGACAAGAGAGGTTGTCTGAAGAATGGTTATCCCCAATCGTCTGATGGAGGTGTTTGTCTGACATATACAGTGGCCTCTTGCTACACGCAAACAAGAGAGGTTGTCTGAAGAATGGTTATCCCCAATCGTCTGATGGAGGTGTTTGTCTGACATATACAGTGGCCTCTTGCTACACGCAAACAAGAGAGGTTGTCTGAAGAATGGTTGTCCCCAGTCGTCTGATGGAGGTGTTTGTCTGACATATACAGTGGCCTCTTGCTACACGCAAACAAGAGAGGTTGTCTGAAGAATGGTTATCCCCAATCGTCTGATGGAGGTGTTTGTCTGACATATACAGTGGCCTCTTGCTACACGCAAACAAGAGAGGTTGTCTGAAGAATGGTTGTCCCCAGTCGTCTGATGGAGGTGTTTGTCTGACATATACAGTGGCCTCTTGCTACACGCAAACAAGAGAGGTTGTCTGAAGAATGGTTGTCCCCAGTCGTCTGATGGAGGTGTTTGTCTGACATATACAGTGGCCTCTTGCTACACGCAAACAAGAGAGGTTGTCTGAAAAATGGTTGTCCCCAGTCGTCTGATGGAGGCGTTTGTCTGACATCTACAGCGGCCTCTTGCTACACGCAGACAAGAGAGGTTGTCTGAAAAATGGTTGTCCCCAGTCGTCTGATGGAGGCGTTTGTCTGACATCTACAGCGGCCTCTTGCTACACGCAGACAAGAGAGGTTGTATGAAAAATGGTTGTCCCCAGTCGTCTGATGGAGGCGTTTGTCTGACATCTATAGTGGCCTCTTGCTACACGCAAACAAGAGAGGTTGTCTGAAGAATGGTTGTCCCCAGTCGTCTGATGGAGGCGTTTGTCTGACATCTACAGTGGCCTCTTGCTACATGCAGACAAGAGAGGTTGTCTGAAGAATGGTTATCCCCAATCGTCTGATGGAGGCGTTTGTCTGACATCTACAGTGGCCTCTTGCTACACGCAAACAAGAGAGGTTGTCTGAAGAATGGTTGTCCCCAGTCGTCTGATGGAGGCGTTTGTCTGACATCTACAGTGGCCTCTTGCTACATGCAGACAAGAGAGGTTGTCTGAAGAATGGTTATCCCCAATCGTCTGATGGAGGTGTTTGTCTGACATATACAGTGGCCTCTTGCTACACGCAAACAAGAGAGGTTGTCTGAAGAATGGTTATCCCCAATGGTCTGATGGAGGTGTTTGTCTGACATATACAGTGGCCTCTTGCTACATGCAGACAAGAGAGGTTGTCTGAAGAATGGTTATCCCCAATCGTCTGATGGAGGTGTTTGTCTGACATATACAGTGGCCTCTTGCTACACGCAAACAAGAGAGGTTGTCTGAAGAATGGTTATCCCCAATCGTCTGATGGAGGTGTTTGTCTGACATATACAGTGGCCTCTTGCTACACGCAAACAAGAGAGGTTGTCTGAAGAATGGTTGTCCCCAGTCGTCTGATGGAGGTGTTTGTCTGACATATACAGTGGCCTCTTGCTACACGCAAACAAGAGAGGTTGTCTGAAGAATGGTTATCCCCAGTCGTCTGATGGAGGTGTTTGTCTGACATATACAGTGGCCTCTTGCTACATCCAACATGGAAGATTTTGTTAACATCAACTCAACACATGCCATCACACACATGAATGGGCAACTGGACATACTTGATTATCTCAAGGATGTGTTTAACTTACTGTATATGAAAAGTGAAATATCTATACATTCTCTTTGTTTCGTATTGTCTACAAGGCACTTAATGTTAGCTACTGCTTGTCTGCTAGGCTTTTCTGTGGATACGTAATGTGAATTCAACATTGTTGAAGGGAAGCCAGGCTCATTAAGAATTATGGTTCTTGGTTTTGTTGAATAATTTTATAATAGTTTGCCCATGACACTTACTTATGATTTTGCACTTAAATCTTAATGCCTACGCAAAGGGAATTATTCCGGGAATGATGTTTTTTGTATCATTTACTCTTTAAAATAACAATGATAAACTAAACGCATTGAATGATTATTTTGGTTGCTGGGAATATCAAATAATGAGTTTATCCTCAACTACGTCATTCCGTCTTCATAAGCTGTATTGTATGCAAGTAAATGACAAATCAACCCTTAGGCGCTAAAGGTTTCTATAACCGTTGGTGAGTGACATACCCAATTCATATATTTTTATAAACTTTCGTGAAAATAAACTGTAGATTGCGTTTAGAAAATGTTTTATAAGATATTTAACTGAAAAGAGTACAATATATTGCAAGACGATATGTTTTTGTGTGCTGTTTTGTGTTGTATGAATGTGATGTGTAAATAAATGCGTATCTTTCTTATGTGTGGCATTCTTATATTACTCCAGAAACTTAGTATTATACAAAATAAAAGAATAATAATACTAGCGATGGTTCAAATATGGAAGGTGGAAGTAGTTATTTTCGTTAAATTTTCCAAATGTTATCTTTGCTTATTTGATTTTTAAAATTTATTTAAGTTAGTTGAACTTCACGTATGCAACATGCGAACTCAATTATAATTATTGTATCTCATGTTTTGATGAAAGAGCTACTGAGGTTGCTTTAGGACATAGGCTATCTTCATTCATCAGTTTTCATTACCTAATGGAGCCATACAGTACTTCGCTGTTTACAAAAATCTAGCATTATTTTGTGGAATAACTCAAACTCCCGTTATTTTACCCAATTGTGATGATTAATGATTAACTAAGTTGCAGTTAAATTAAAACTTTTAACTGGATTTTAGCGAATTTCCCTATAGGGAAGAAGCTATTTGTTTAACTTGTTTTGAGGCAAATTATGTTTAAGATTTAAAATAAACAATAAAAGTTTTGACGACTAATATTATCCCAAAATTTTTAAGAAGGCTCTTCTTAAAATGCGTTTTTCCTAAAATATTATTAGGTTCACTCAAAATTATTAAGTGAGGAATTTACAATTGAAGTAAAAGGGTATTTACTCCATCCCTCATACATTTAATTTAATTTGTTAAAAACATAAAATATAAAGTGTTTGTTTACAAAATTAACTAGAGTCACCATTTATTCTTTCGCAACTTCTAGATACAAATACATCCAAACAAGACAAAATCTCTTAAAACAACTCTTTGAAACAATGCCGCACAACTTATCTCTGAAGAGGAGGTCACCACTAAACGAAACCTTAAGGATGGGTTCTGGGAAAATACTCTTGAAATCAGATTATTCCTTTTATTGAGGGTGGCTTAGTAGTAAGCATCTCGCCCTTTTTATCCCTTTTAACTTGGATTCTCCATTATTTTGGGGGCTTTTAAAGCCTGAAAAGCTCAAACAATATATTTAAAGTGAAGGTTTATTTGAAATATAGTAATATATATATATATAATCTCGGTGTGACTATTAATGACACTTAGGATATAGTAAGGCTAATAAACTTAATATCATAATAAAAAGATGTTTAAAATACAGTACAAAAAAAAAACAACAACGTATCATTGAACAAAATTGTTTTTTAGCTCTGCACGATGGTTGCAATAAACATTGAACATTTCATGTTTCTAGGGTAAAACCTGAAACCAATTACTACCATAATTCTAAAAAAATCAAACTTTAATAATTAACTATTTGCAACCCTACATAGGTGAAGTATTCCATTAACATTTTAATTAATAGCTTTCCATTTTCAATTTTAAAATCAGTCCAGTATAACTGTAGATTTAGTTGTACCAAGTTTAACAAAAGTATCTACATTCAGTATTTTCTCACCTCTATAAATTTGGAGGTTGCTTAGCTTTTTTACAAATACCATTTTAATGGCGAGGGAGGAAATTGATAAAATGGAAGGTGATATTCTGAAACATTTCCTACAAATTACTGTAGTACCTACATTTTTTGAAAATACTCAAGAAAGGCAACCAAAATTTGCATCCAAATAAAATATGTGAAACCCCTTTAGTTTTCAATGTATTTTTTTATGGAAACGTGTTTATTTGATTTCCTACCATAACACTTTCATAATTATTTGCAAATCTACAGGGAGTGAGCTTTCAACTACCCATTAATTAATAAAATAGTTTCAGTAGAACTGTAAATTTAGTTGTACAAAGAGGTTTGAAACTGAATAATTACAATAGTATATGAATAAACTTTAATGAATTGTGTTTTTGGCCTCTTGGGTCATCAAATTGAGAAAGAAAGTTGGTTCCTGGTATTACCGAGCCACCTACACAATAGCATATTACCCATATGGGAAATATGGTAAAAGGAGTATGGGTTATTCATGAGTGAATATTGGTTCTAGGAAGAAATCCAAACATTTCGCTAACCAAAGTACCCTTCCTTCCATGTTGACGGGTATTTTACATTTTTAACTCCATCCAATATACCGTACAAGTCTCTTATATTTTAAGTATGCATATCAAGAAATATCAGAAACAACATTGTTTAAATATGTTTATTTCTTCGTAATTTTAGTTTAATTGAATATCCGTGTTTTGGTCCATTGCAAGCTAAATTGGTCTCGTAGTTTAAACCCGATTTCATTGTGTCCAATGCATGTTGCAATTATAATTATAAATCGCAATTAAATAAGTTAGCACGAAACCTATAAGAAAATTTATAAGTCAAATACAAATTGAGAAACTCCTTCTTATCAGTAAAAAAATAAAAGGTAATGAAATTGTGTTTATACAGTAAGTGATGGTATCATGACAGGCAAAATCCTACTATGTTACGGTTTTAATAAAATAATCTAACTCTAGAGCTCTGTGGTCTGAGTAATATATCGATACATTTTAAGTGTATTAAATGCAGACGTTTTTAAA